TGAAGTTAATTGAACCTAGGTCCTGCTGAAATGAAATGGGTTTGGGACTTTGCTCAACTCCCATTGATATTTCAGTGGGAATTAAACACAAACTTAATTCAACTACATTTTGGAGTGGTGGTTGCAATGATCATTTTAAAGTTTTCCAAAAGGAATTCTTTTTTTTAGTGCACAGTATACATGTGCCCCCCCCCGGCCAAAAAAGCAGTGTCTCCTTCTATTAGCTAAGCCAGTTTTATTTTCTGTTGCCATGTACAGAATTTAGGAAAGAAATTAAGTTTTGAATTAGGAAACAGAAATAAACAGGCTTTCAGTCCTAAAGCCAGGCTTTAATCTCAACCAATACATTTGTATAGTTATCCAAGTACAAAGGCTTCATTGGATCTCTGATGCTCAGAAACAATCATTTGCACACAGTCAGACACTCATTTCTAGGCATTCAGGAAAAGTCCCCAGCATTAACAGTTTATTTTATTAATTTTCGGGTTCAAAAAAGAAAATTCCATCAGATCTCCAAGGGGACCTAAGGATACATGTGTCCTGTAACATGGGGCTGTGTACACATGCTACACTGGCATGCGCCCTTACAATGCAGCAAGGTTGTCCTGTTTCACTGTGTTTGAAACAGCATTTGCACATTGCTGTATGTATCAGGATGGTTCGATGTTTACCCAAGTCTCCCACCTAAGCCCACGCTAGTGGGATGTCTTCATCTGATGAGCGGTTCTGAATTTGGTTGAAGTTGGGGTTTTATTGTGGGGGAGGGAATGCATCAAAACACAGTGCCTCACACACACAAAAGGTACAGGATAGCTGTAGACTGTGTGCACAAGGCTTCCCAAAACGAGTGGTGGGAGCACATTGGATACAGAGTACATGGAAGTGTGTACATTGATTCTTAACTTATTCTAATGTCTGTTATTTTCTAGTCCTTTCTACTGATTTCTTTTTTAAATTAATTCTACATATTTTTGGCTCTGAGTTATGTTGCAGAAATTGTTATAAGAAGGTATATCTGGAAGTGGTTCACAGAGTACAAAATGCCACTAGATCGCAGAAGATAATGATTTTAATTCCTGCACTGGAAGAGGCCATTTGTCAGAAGGCAGTCATTCACAGTACAGTGGTACCTTGGGTTAAGTACTTAATTTGTTCCGGAGGTCCGTTCTTAACCTGAAACTGTTCTTAACCTGAAGCACCACTTTAGCTAATGGGGCCTCCTGCTGCCGCTGCGCTGCCAGAGCACAATTTCTGTTCTCATCCTGAAGCAAAGTTCTTAACCCGCGGTACTATTTCTGGGTTAGTGGAGCCTGTAACCTGAAGTGTATGTAACTCGAGGTACCACTGTAGTTCCCTTAGGAACTATTTGTTCATGGCCTGGTCTTTTTCCTCTCCAGGTTCCCAAGATGCTACTTTACTCTTCTCTTTGTTTCTGCGTTCTCATTTCCATTTCATCATCTTTAACCAAGGATGAGCTCTTATCAAAAATTGCCAATAAACATATGCTGACAAGCAAGGACACTGCTTCCCTGATTAATGCTGGAAAAAACGTTTATGAAGGTAACAAAAAGCCCTGAAATGCTACTCAAATGAAATGAAAATGTAAGAAGAGAGGAAATTTGGTAAGGTGCCATTGCTACCAGATGCAGGGATGGAGAACCTGTAGACTCTCCAAAAGTTGTTGGAAAACAACTCCTGTCAGCCCAGTTCATTGGCCATGTTGGCTTGGAAGCTGATGGGAGTTGTAGGCCTAGGCATCTAGAGATCTAATGATCACTGGTGATACTCATTGCAAATCTCTTCTGGTCTCCATAGGACTTAAGGTGTGTCTGCTAAGGGAGGGGTTATGTAGCAAAGCCCTAATAGAACTGAATTGAGGCCAGCTGGCAATGGTGCTCTCAGATCATTTTAGACTCTGGTCTTAATGGTGGATTTATTACTTTATGTATGTTGTAAGTCAGCCCTCTTGCTCATTCCCCAGAGCGGGGCCCTGGACCTCTTTCTCAAAGTGATGGCGCCACTGCCAGTGAGGGGTATTTACAAGATTTATAAACTGCTCATGTAATAAAAAATCAGAGCGGGTTTACACAGAAAACCAACAACGTATGAAATGTACACCAGAAATAATACAGTAAAAATAACACGCAGAAGATGTTCAGCAAATCATCAATTTAAAAATGCATTCGGAAAGGCCTTAAAGCGTGCTTCAGAAAGAGCAGAGTGTGGAGCATGTCTATCTCAAGTGGTGATAAGTTCCCTATTAAAGGGACCACAGCACCAGTCCAAAAACTTCAGCTGTTGCATTGCTTGTGGGTTTTATTTCTATGTGTCTGCCTGCAAGATACTACAAGGAGTCTGGTTCTTCTGTTTCAGAATACATTGCAAGGGACTGCAGAGCAGCTCATCTCCGTGGCAGGAAGCAAAGCGGCCTGTATGTCATCCGTCCCAAATACTCTCCCTTGCTGGCGGTCTACTGTGACATGGAGTATGATGGGGGCGGCTGGACAGTCCTGCACAGAAACAATGTCAACTCAAAGACAACCTGGTCAAACCCATGGCAGTCTTATAAGCATGGCTTTGGGGACCTGCAGGGAAACCACTGGCTCGGCAATGAATACATGCACCTCTTACCAACCAGAACGCCTTCTCTGTACGATTTGTCATAACTGATAGTCAAGGGCAAACCAAGTATGCTGAATACCAGAGTTTTAAAGTGGATGATGAAGACAGTGGTTATGCTTTGAGGCTAGGGAACTATACAGGGGATGCTGGGGATTCACTGACCACTATAGGTGAATGGGGAACCCATGACAACATGAGGTTTTTCTACCAAAGACAAGGATAATGACCGGAGGGCCAGTACAAACTGTGCACTAGATAATGGTGGTGGCTGGTGGTACGATAACTGTTACTCAGCCCTCCTAACAGGTGACATTCGCTGGAGGGGGTTGTGCTCAGAGGCCATGCCCTGTACATCAGCATACATCATGATTCGACCCAATGGAAAAATTGCAACATACCTCCAAGATATTAATGAATCGTTTCCTACCACTATAAGAGGCTTCCTCTTGTTTTAGATCAGCTCCAAAAACCAACCACCAATATGTAGTTTTTATAAGGCCCCCAAGATTTAGGAACACAGTAGTTCTCCAGGAATTTGTTGTAAACCCTCATTGAAAGGAATGAGAGCTACATAGGAGCACAGTAGCTGTGTTCTTAAGCAACTCCCATTCCTTTCAGTGGGGCTTATCAGGAGAACTTCCCATTGGTATCTGCTTTCTTTTCCACCTACCTGAAACAACTGTTAAACATTTTGGCCAAAATCTAGTCTATGTATCGCAGTGCTGATGTCAAGAGAATTACAATACTCTATTGCACATTTCTGAGTGTGAAAAAGTAGTAGCTTATTTAAAAGAGAAGGCCCATATAGAGCTGAAATGTCTTTATCTCTGTGCTTTTAATGAAAAATACAAAAATTCATTTGTGATTTACAAATACCTGCAATAAAAGAGAGAGAAATGGCTATTGTTTCATTGTCAAATAAACTCTATGCAAGCATAAATGGAGAATGATTTTGAAGTTGTTTCTCAAATGTGATATTAAGAATAGAATCCTTTATACGCACATTTACATGAGTGTAGGTCCTATTGGATTTGCATAAACTTGTATGAGATATTTCTCTTAAAATTAGAGGTGTAAAAATATTCTTGAGGGTTATGGTTTGCCACCTCCTAAACCTGAAAATTATAGATAGTCCAGCCCCTTACTACCTCAGTAGTGCACGATAGCTAGCACCAGAAGGCTTATAGTCTCACATTTTTTATTCATCCTAGTTCTGCCCATCCCACTCACTTCCTCAATGGAGCTAAAAGTGGTGTGCAATGGCTGTTTCTCGTCTCTCTCCCTTTTTGTCCTCTCAACAACATCACGAAGTAGGTTAGACTGAGAGATAGTGGACTAGCCTAAGATCATCCAGTAAATTTATAGCTGAGTGGGGATTTCCACCTGGGTCTATACAAACTGCACCACACTAAAGCTTAAGAAAACTCCAGTGTGGTCTAAGTGGTTAGATGGCTGGACTAAACTAAATCCCCATTCAAACTATGAACCTCACTTTGGGATCCTAGGCCAGTCACTATGTGCATGTGATGTGTTGCAGTTGTGGTGGCTGTGCCCATGTTTTGGGCATGCTGGCATATGGGCCCAGAGGGTTGTAAAGTGGTAACGCAGCCTTCAGGTCTAAAAATGTTAGCCACTCCTGCATTAAGTTAATGCACTATATGTTAATGCAATATATAATGGAACTTGAGGAAAAACAGACACATTTTCATGCAATGGGGGGGGGGGGCTTTCCCAGGAAAATTTCCTCCTGCACCTTCCATAAACCCATGTCAAACTTCCCTGTGCCAAAGAGAACTTTCTGTTCTAGTGATATTGCACAAATGTAAAGAATAGGAGCAATGTGAACTGTCCTACATTGACAGACGTCATATTGGTATAGTCATTATACAAAATGTGCTCTATCAGCCATGTGTGGTTCATCAATCATGCAAAATTAACTGCTGTCCATGGACCTTTGTTCCTCTTAAGAAACCTTTATCGGACTCTTTCAGTAGCGCGTTTTTTAACTTAATAGGGGCAGAATTACTGGTATATAAAAGGTAAAGGTAAAGGTACCCCTGCCCGTACGGCCAGTCTTGACAGACTCTAGGGTTGTGCGCTCATCTCACTTAAGAGGCCGGGGGCCAGCGCTGTCCGGAGACACTTCCGGGTCACGTGGCCAGCGTGACGAAGCTGCTCTGGCGAGCTGGCACCAGCGCAGAACACGGAAACGCCGTTTACCTTCCCGCTAGAAAGCGGTCCCTATTTATCTACTTGCATTTAAGAGTGCTTTCGAACTGCTAGGTGGGCAGGAGCTGGGACCGAAAGACGGGAGATCACCCCGCCGTGGGGATTCGAACCGCTGACCATGCGATCGGCAAGCCCTAGGCGCTGAGGTTTTACCCACAGTGCCATATAGCCAGTCTATAAAAAGAGAGGAATGTAACTACGTTATATGGGCTCTCTGGCTGAACTTTCACTCTCTTTCCTTCCCCTCATAAACTATGAGCAGGAATCCTGGGTCTGCAGAAGAAAAGTGTAACCTGCTCAGAGTTACAGGGAAATGTTAGCCAGGACAGGTTTAGCTTCCAGAGTATGAAGAACATTGCCTCTCTACTCTGCAAGAATGGGAAAGAGCTGTAGTTCAGTGGGTAGTGCCTCTGCTTTGCATGCAGAATGTCCCAGCGTCAACCCATGGTATCTCTAAGTCATGCTGGGAAAGATTCCTCTCTGAAATCCTGGAGAGCTACTGCCAGTCAGCGTAGAAAATACTGAGCTACATGGACCAGTGTTCTGACTCAGTTCCTCCCCTCTGTTGTTGTTGTTTAGTCATTTAGTCGTGTCCGACTCTTCGTGACCCCACGGACCAGAGCACGCCAGGCACTGCCTCCCGCAGCCTGGCCAAACTCATGCTGGTAGTTTCGAGAACACTGTCCAACCATCTCTTCCTCTGTTGTCCCCTTCTCCTTGTGCCCTCCATCTTTCCCAACATCAGGGTTTTTTCCAGGGAGTCTTCTCTTCTCATGAGGTGGCCAAAGTATTGGAGCCTCAGCTTCACGATCTGTCCTTCCAGTGAGCACTCAGGGCTGATTTCCTTCAGAATGGATAGGTTTGATCTTCTTGCAGTCCATGGGACTCTCAAGAGTCTCCTCCAGCACCATAATTCAAAAGCATCAATTCTTCGGCGATCAGCCTTCTTGATGGTCCTCCCCTCTAGGCAACCTATTTATTGAGCATTCATCCTAGTTTGCTTCCTCCAGATGCTCCACAATCTTTGTCACTGTCCTCTGGACACATTCCTCTCTCTCTCTTTTTTGTAAATTTATTTATTTGGGTTTTTCAAATTAAAATTTTACAATAACATATCAACATAGAATATAGAAACAAGATTCTACATAATCTTCTGGACTTCCCTCTGCCGCTTTATGGGTCTTATTGTTGGTCCTTTCCTCCTGCATCTTTTACAATAATCCAAATATTTTGCATCTCCATTATGTCCAAAATTCACCATTAAACTACAAGTGTTATTCCAGTCCCACTAATGATTTTAGCTGTTTACCATGGTTTGAAAGATAGATTGTAAATTCCCCCCATTCCTTATTAAGATTTTGCTCTTTCTGATTTCTTAGTCTTCTGGCCATTTTTGCCATTTTGGCATAGTCCATCAACTTTCCTCTGGACACATTCCAGTTTATCAAATTACTTCTTAAACTGTGATGCCCAGAATTGGATGCAGCATTCTGGATGTCATCTGGACACTATACTTCTGTCAATACGTTCTAGAATATCATTAGCCCCCCCCCCTTTTTTGCCAAAGCATCACACACTGTTGCATCATGTTTAACTTCAGGTTTACTTAAACCCTTAGAGCCTTTCCACGTCATCATGTCAGATCCTGTATCCTGTTTCTATCTCTTAAGATATCTCTTAACCACCACACCCAGTTTTAGTGTCATCTGCAAGTTTAAAGAGCATCCCCTCCACTCCTTCATCCAAGTTATTTATAAAGATGTTAAACCCCAGCCATTAATAAGCACTCTTTTCAGTTTCTATTAATCAACTACAAACAGTAACACCATCTTGTCCACATTTTACCAATTTGGCCAACAAAAATGTAATGGGGGATCTTATCAAAAGTCTTGCTAAAATTAAGATATATTATGTTAAGAGGATTCCCCTGATCTACCAGGGCAATAACAGGGCTGGTGCTAGGATGAGGCAAACTGGGGGCAACTGTCTCGAGGAGAAGGTTTGGCAAAATGGCACCCCTTGGACCCCCCCCCCCCCCCCCCACTTACTTCAACTACCGGCCCTGCTGCTTCCATCAGCCCAGAGCCTCTGAGTTTTTCAGCAGGGCTTTCTCACACAAACAAATATTTGTGTGTATTTATTGTATTATGAAATCACTTTGTGGTACTTCATAGGAAGTGATTCATAAATGAAATAAGCAAATAATATTATAACGGATGTACATTTCAACACACTTTTTATGTGTCTCCCTTGCCTCATTGACACAAGAAAATGTAGATATGAACATTTAAAGCAAAAAAAAAGTTTTGAACTCTGTGTATTATTGTCAAAGTTCTTGCTTATTTCTGAATCAATCAAAACATATGCTCTAATTCAACCACAAATTAGTAAACCAAATAGTGTTCTTTTCTATAAGACAAAAAGAATAGCGAAGTGAGACCCTGTACCTCTGTTTTTCTGTGTTATTATAACCAACATATTCCAGACCTTAAAGCCTGTTAGTGACAGTACAGGATGTTGAACAGAACTGCAATATGTAAGAATGGATGCATGGCCAAACCCTGAATCAGATATGGCTAAGCACTGATAGTAATAGCATAATCAACTATGGAACTCACACAGAAGGCCACCAACTTGGATGGCTTCAAAAGGGGATTAAAGAAAGTGATGTGACGATAAGGCCATGGTCACTAGCCATGATGGCTGTGCTCTGCCTCCATGGTTAGAAGCAGTAATGCTTTTGAATACCACTTGCTGGAAACCACAGGAGTGATGAGTTTTCTTATGCTTGTTCTGCTTGTGAGTTTCCCACAGGCATCTGGTTGGCCACTGTGAGAACAAGATGCTGGACTAGATGGGCCCTTGGCTTGATCCAGCAGAGCTCTTCTTATGTTCTAATGTTCTTGGATTGTTATTATTTTATTCTGGACCCAGAAAGCCAGTTGCACTTGTCACACTCGTTGTCCTTTATTTTCTATAACTATCTTAATCTAGCCAGCACTTTCCCCACACCAATATGTGATTTAGCCTAGGGCTTGCCGATCAGAAGGTCAGCGGTTCGAATCCCCACGATGGGGGGAGCTCCCGTTGCTCGGAACCTGCTCCTGCCAACCTAGCAGTTTGAAAGCACGTCAAAGTGCAAGTAGATAAATAGGTACCACTCTGGCGGGAAGGTAAACGGCGTTTCCGTGTGCTGCTCTGGTTCGCCAGAAACGGCTTAGTCATGCTGGCCACATGACCTGGAAGCTGTACGTTGGCTCCCTCGGC